AGAGGTGTATGTCCTTTTTTTTTATCTTCCATCTAAAGGTTGTTCTCGAGACAATTCAGGCGTAAGAAAAAATCGCATAAGTAAGCTAGTGAACCGAGTGCCATGAAATTTTTCACAAAGGTGTTTTTAGCTGGTGCATTGATCATACTCAAAATCGGGATGTCTGGGGAAAATGTCAATAAAGTAAGAGCTCCTTTATTTTCTCATGTGCGGTAGGAAAACGAAAGCAAACCGTTGGATTGACGCTGCTACTTATATATGGCATTACCTGATAGAAAAAAAAAAAAAAAGAAAACTTGAAAGATTTTTAGAGCTTAACACACTAAAGCAGATTCAGAAGATCCGAGCGTGTGATACCATACATAATTAGCAGCGTCAACACGACGGTTTGTTCCTGTTTTTCTCCCGAGCATTGAAAAAAAATAAAAAAAACAGGCTTTTCTCTTTTTGAACTTTTTCCCAACACTCACAAAAGTTTAGTATGATAAAGGCACCACCTAAATGCCCCTTTGTAAACAAATTCACGAAACACTGTTCATTGGCTTATTTATTCAATCTTTTTTACGACAGCCTGTAGAGTAAAACAGAACTCAGTTAATGTGCTGGTTTTCTTTCCCTTTATTTTAATGGGCGCTTTGATCAGTGTCGTTCCTTCGGTGAATTCGTGTTAAATAATGGGGCGAAATCATACCATTCATAAACAATTTGCGACCGCGCCGGGGCAGTGGGTGTCATATAGGCCAGGATGCTTTGATATTTTCAATAGGGTGAGCGCGATCTTGTGTGCGGTTTTAACGAGAGGTGTCCACTCGGGCGTGCCTTCTTCAGATGAAGTGGACGATCGTTTCACTGCCTTCTTCAGATAACGTGGCGGGGGTCCTTCTGTTGGTTGTGAAATAAGCTGGAGCGCTTCAAGCCTTGATGCCTTCTGAAGGTCTCCCATTTCTATGTAGTGTATATCTGAGTTCTTCGCATCCCTCGGAGATGTTCCTCCGTCGCCTTCTTGGGGGCCCCTTCCTTCTTTTGCACTGTTGTGCCCTTGCGTTCAGCGGCAGACGAATGTTTTGTGACGCTGCTGTCTGTTTGAATAGGCTTCAGCGCGGGAAAGAGCTTTTCTTAACTCAAGGCTAACTTTTCAGCACGAAAGCTCACCAAGGTGAATTTTAAGTACGTCTTAATCTCCTCTACGACTATTAGTTTTGAGTAGGAGCGTGGTGTAGCTTCGTTGCCCTGGCCACAGTTCATACATTTGGCCGCGGCGTCGATTGGCGTGTGGTGTCCGTTAAGTCGTGATGCTTTTCACAGTGTCCACACGCTTTAAGGCTTTTGCAGGCAACTTGCTCGTGTCCGAAACCAAAGCAATTGAGACACTGTATTGGTATTTTTCTGAAAATAAAGGACGGGGTGGTGCACATGACCCAGAAGAACGCGAGATTGGAGACTCTCCCCGGGAATGCGACCTTTGTGGTGCTGGATTTCCCGACACGGTCACGGTGCCAATTTTAATGCTAGACCTGATATGGGAGGTAATGATATCGTTAAAGAGCTCTTTGTCCGCACGGCCTTGCATTGTCCCAAAAACTGTTGTTTAATTCAATTGAGAATTCGACGTAACAGGGATTCCACAGTGCGATTTATGTTCAGTGGTATTTTGGTTGCGTGACCATTTCTGGTGTGAACTGCAATGAGATTCAGCCTGCTATTAAATCGAACCTCGTGAATGAACTCGGGGCATGTATTTTCCAGTGCTGTTGACAGCTTCAGGCTGTGATGGAAGTAAGTACGGTATCCGCCTTTTCAGGGGCGAATACCACAGTGAGCCTTTCTTCAACAGGTTTTGAGGCAATCATGACACTGGGTCAGGACAAGAGTGTGATGTCCCTGTTTGTCGTGAAGAGCCAGTGTCCTACACCGTTTGGGGAAATCTGTATGAAGGAATTCAAGCTAGGAATTGCGACGCCATCAGAAGTCGTCAACACTGTGGCGTCCGTAAAAAATGCTGTGAGCCAGTTTCAAAAGTATTTTCGGAAGGGCTGGGAACTTACGACGTCGAGGCACGCTCCCGTCTCGTGCTGTTGTTCCTGGCCACCCCAATGCGCTGGGGACAGATTACTACAGTTTTGTTTCGAGTACCGTCTCCGAGATGGATGTCGAACCACTGCATTGTGCTCTTTTTCTATATGTTTCTGGCCGTACTTTGTTTCACGTACCTACCGTCGTCTTCGTCTGTGCTGTTCAGTTTTGTAGACGAAGATACCAAAGTGGCATCGGAACAGACAGAGTTGTCCGTCACTTAACAGTGACGTTGATGGTGTTCCCTTCTTTTGACGTTACGCAGGTGTTATGCTCAGAACCATATTAGCGGCGTCGGAGGCACCCGCTTACTACGATGTCATGCGTGTTCACATGAACAGGGAGCAGCAGTCGAAGGCTGCAATTCTCTCTACAAGAGACTCGGTGGCGTTTTCCCCTGCCCTGCCAGGCACGCTGTCATTACGATACACTGGTCGCAAGTATTTAACATGTGTTCAATTACTGCAATGTAATAAAATAGGGAAATTTACGGGAGTGGAAGATTCTTTGTTCCTCGACCAGAACTCCTCGTAGTCTCCCCCCCCCCCCCCTCCTCACCCCCTATGCTGTCAGTGTTCATCATAGTCATGCTCTGGGGTTGACAAAGCATAGAGCATGGGCTGAGCATCAGACATTGTAATACCCAATTCACATGGAAGCGTAAAGGTACTTTTAGCTTAGGTACCTTCGTTGAAGGTACCTGTAGTAAACGGCGGTCTGAATCACACGATGAATAAACAAAACAATTTGAGTTGGTGTCAATTGCAATGCCGCTAAACCGCTCAAGGAGCACGTGATAAACAATAGTTCCTCGAAATCGGTTTGACGTGCAGTTTTTGAATATCGTGTGTAAAATATCACATTTAGAACCTAGTATTTGTGTTCGCTTTTGCGGCACTTTATTTTTTTTCCCTCTAAGTCCAAGGGCGCTCCTAAATGAGTCTTGCTTTAAAACGTCCGACCCGTCTGGCCACTCTGGCCCTAAATCATGTGCATCTACGAGTTTCCATTACGAGGTGGGCGACCTTTTTTTGTGTTTAGCAGCTCCATTTTTCCGCAGAGTTCTCACTGAAGTAGCTAAATTGTGCCAGACAAAAACGAACCACGTCGGAGTTTTACGGTTACGCCAGTGACGGCATCGAAAGGGATGGACGACGGCGAGCTCCTGGGTATGGTTTGGTCGCTTGAACAGCAGCGGATCCTTTTTAATCAGATGGAAGAGCGGATCCAAGCAGTGGAAGCAGAAGCGGACAGATTTGAGGAGTTCGGGTTCGTAGCAGACATTGTTGTCCACGTGCCGCCGCTCCTACCTGCTGTAAGACATGGGGGCGTAATCTTGGAAAGGAATAAGGAAAGTATATTTACATTAAAGAGGACAAACGTTAAGTAGTAGGGCTAAAAGCGAGTTCCTGGTGGCTGGCTTGACTGGCTGAAGGTTCTACAGGCTTGAAACAGGCACCAGACCGGAACGCACGTGCAGTTCGGGCCGGGCACGAGGGCATGCGAGGGCGGCTTCTTTGTCTACCGCCACCAGGCACGCTTAAAGTTTCTTGATAAAGTTCGCGCTTACAAGGACCTCCAACCTTCGTTGTAGAAACGCGCAAGACACGTGCCACGAGCGGGTGCTTGGCCGCCATTCGCTTCCAAGGGCCGCTCTACAGCCGCTCATTTCCGTGCTGCGCCGCCATTTGCTTCCAAGGGTCGCGCTAGACACAGGCCTTGTGCATTGGCGCATTTGAAGCTACTTGCAAGATCAAGGCAAACAGATCGAGGGGCTTTAGGCACGCTCACTTGGGGCGCGTCCAAGGTAATACGAAAGAAGAAGAGGGGACTGAGGATACCACGCGCTCATACTGCTAGCTGGAGTATGCGTTCCTCGTGATTGTAATATTCCATCACATCTGTGTTCACAACCATTGCATAATACTTATATCTATATTCAATTTGTTATAACGCGTGAAACGAGATATATTTATATATCTGTGATTTTTATTTTGAGTTCGTGGGTTCGAGGCTACTCCCTGTAGCTGTGGAGGGAGCTTGGCGAGCTGTGTTTGACACACGCGACCCCCCTTAGCGAAAGGGATCTTTATCTGCCGTGTGATTACGATCTCCAGCTCCTTTACTACAGGTACCTGCGCCAAAGGTGCCTTTGCACTGCCGTATGAACTGAAACAAAATGACGTGGCCACGAGCTCTCTACCTCTCGCTTCGAAATCGGCCAGCAAGAAGCGCAAGGCGTATCGCGCTCGTGACGTCAAAGGCCTCTGCACGGCCAAGGGTACTGTTGTGGCGAGCGTTGCCACCTCGTGGCGTCGACACGTGACAATCTCACCAAGTAATAATACCCGAGGACTGTACGCCCTATAGCCTATACATAGCTTGCCTTTACAGCCATTCGCGGCTATGCCGCTATTTATGTGCCACGAGCATTCGGTTCACCGTGTCAGTTTCACACCGCGGCTCGAGGGAACCAGTAAGTAGAAAGAACCGTCAGTACCCAGCAATGGCCTCACCGGCAAACTATGTATACATGGTATTACCATATATATATGGTAATACCACATATATGGTATTACCCTATACATAGGGAAGAATAATTGTACAGTCTGTAGCGTTTTGTCGGTTGTTGTGCTGTTGCACCAAACTAAAGTCGCTGAGTTGGCAAATTTGGTGGATAGGCAAAATGTCGAAGTTAATTTTATCATGAAATGTTTAAAGAGCGTGAGGTCAGTATTCCAGTTTTTGCGATATTGTTACATGCTACGAACAAGAAATTTTGCCAACGCAGAGTCTTGAATGGGGCACCACCTTTCAGACTCACTTATCATTTCTCGAGCAGCCTGCCACCATGTGACTTCAACCAAGCTGGACTTCTCGGGTGCCCTTAGGATAAATTTACGAGGAAAAAAGAAAAGCAGACCTCCTTTATCTTTTCCCGCCTATTCCGGCGCAACTCTGTTTTATTCAGAACTCTTCACTGGGGAGTACTATTTGACGAAGAGTCAAATAGTACGAAGAAAATGGGTCGTCAACTAAAATATTGACACAGCTTCCGACGTTCTTCGGGTCCGTTACTCGGATCCATGTAAGGTTCGATGAAATCTTTGATGTAAGCCGACACTTTGACGAAGCCCTGCGGCGAGATTGACCAGTTGCACGGACGTGGACCCGTGCTGACGATCCCGTGCACGGTCCACTTGCCGTCTGCCTTGTGCACTGCGGGACCACCACTGTCACCCTGAAAAAAAAAAAAAAAAAAAGCCTCATCCTGGGGCCTTAAGCTGGACGCTTGGCGAAAACGACGGCGAGGAATTTGGCGGCCGCGATTGGCCAACGCCACACTTGACCTTGGCGCCGGCCAATCATAGCCACCAAATTTCTCGCCGACTTTTCCACCAAGTGTCCAGACTAGGGCCCCTGCCATTAACCTGGCGCGTTATGTCTGTCCTTCGTTTCACCTCAGACGCAGCCGACGCTACGAACTGATGGAGCCAACCAAACAGCGTCAAAGGTGCACCATCATTGTGATGTTTCTGTACGTGTCCTATCATCGCTGAACCACTCATAAACAAAAACAAAACCCGGTGACTTGCGTTTTTGACGCTGCTTGATTGGTCGCAGCTGCAAGGCGGTGCGAGTCCCAAGCATCTGATTATCTGTCAGCAGCCAATGAAACTAAAGCGTTAGGCGATAAGAAGGCCGATCAAGCAATCACGAAGCAGAAAGCGTGAACGTAATATGTAGGCCACGCCCCGTTGTTTCTCAAGCGGTCAGTAACTATATGCGGAGCGCAAGTTCGTCTGCTTCTTGCACAGCGTTTGCGAAGATGTCGCGACGCCGAACTCTTATTGGCTGATTAGAAAAAAAAAAAAAAATAGTGGGTAGCCCTCAAGGCATCTAGCATTGAGGTCTACCCGCTATCCTTTCAATCATAGCCAATCAGAGCTCGGCATCAGTCTGACGTCACTGCAACTTCTGCGCAAGAAGCAGACGACTTGCTCGCAGCATATCATCTAATATGGCTTGGGAAAGGCAAAGTGGGATTATGCTCACGATTCTTGCTTCGTGATTCGTCAGCGTTCCTGATCGTCCGAGGCAGCGATTTCATTGGATGCTGGCCTATAATGGGATGTCCGGGGATCGTCGTCGCGCCCTGCGTTTCTTAAACTGTCAATGGTAATATTTCGCACTAAAAGAATGCCGAATGCGCGTTGATGCACGGTAGCGCTGATAGGTACGTGTAGAGATAATTGTTGCGTTTGCGTGCGTCTATGTATAGTATATACGAAAGAACTCGTATATTGTACCTGCGGTATTTTTTTTTTAAGTGTATTTGCCATTAAAAATTTTCGCGTTTGTGTTTCTGGATGCTCGGTGTCTACTACCGTGAATGGGCAGACTGAGCTATCTCTTTGTGGTGGTGGTATATACACCAAGCGCGCTTACGCGATTCTCTTTGCCAGATCTGTCACCTGCTCGTATATCGTACAAAAGGAGACAATAGGGAGTTGTAGTGGATCGTTTCTCTCCTCCGCTACGGTATCCCCGAAGAAAACGCCGCAGCTGCGCATGCGCGCCGCCAGCCTTCTCTGCATAGCTCAAGGTCTTGTGGCGGATTACGGAGCGCTAGCCGGGTGCTTAGCGGGCTGCGGAAACGCTCTACTACAATTCCCTAATGTGTTCACTGCAGGCACGACGACGGAATTACCCATGGGCAATGGACCTTTTCCGAGAAGCATTCTGCGCACGCGCGAGCGCCCGATACCAAGCGGTGGAAGTCGGCACGAAAAATCAAGGAAAATCGGAATTAGGCTGTAGATCGACGAGTAGAACACGTAATTGCAGCATATATATAATTGTGTTACACAAAAAAAGAAAGTGGACGGAAAAAAAAAACACGACGTTTGGGTGGACGCTACGGATTTCCCTCTTTAAAGTCGCGTTGGGCACGCGACGCAGCTCGGAGGGCGAAGCAACTGGTAGCGTAGCTCCCATTATCGATTGGTAGCGCAGGTAGGTCCCTTCCTCGATTTTTAGCTCGTGCAGCCACCGCCTGGTGCCGTCGGTATTTGGAAAAGGTCCATTGTCGGCGTACAGGTCTCAAGCGCGTCAGAAGCGCTTCATGTATGGTTCCAACCTGTCTGCAGACAGTCTTTTGTGGGACCAGACACGACACATACAAGAAACACGCCACAAACAGTTTTCTGCAGACTTTCGTGTATACGGGGCTTTAGGGTCCAGGTGCTGTAATAAACGAAAACTCAAGCGGTGCACTTACGTCACAAATAGATCCGTGGTCATGGGCTGCGCAAAAGACATCTGGGTGAGACGCCATTCCCCACCTCTTTATGCAGCTATCAATTGGGATTGACTCGATCATGGTCTGCTTAAGTTCTTCGGACCTTACTCTTCCCATGCCTAATGAGAGGAAGGAAAAAACAATTGAGTGGTGCACTTCAATTGATGATGGCAATGCCTGAACTGTCTTACTTTTTAGATGGCAATGTCTTAGCAGTGTCACCTTTTACCATTTCATCTACATGTATTTTTGCATTCATAGGATCGCTGTTTTTGTTGCTTTTGATCTTCCACTGTTTGTAACCCTCACACCTTCGGAATGCCCTCGGGCCTTTTTTTTTTTTTTTTTTTTTTAGGGTATTTGTGTCATGTTGTTAAACTTACCCATTTAACTTCTGTCTTCCGTAAATTTAACGTAGTCTAGCAGTTTGGCCTCAATAATTTCTGACGTCCTCGTGTTTTATACACCCCCATAAAATTTCCGTGATTAGATTGAGCTATGAATTCTGTAATTCGTTTCAGCTGAAGTCCAGACACAGCCGATGCTACAATCGCGAGCTCCGGACTTTCAGCGTCCCTGCCAAGCACCCGCGTTCGTGCAGTGCAAGTAGAGTGCAAGCACTGGCCATGGCCACATGTTCGCGCTTGTAGCGGCGGCTGCGCCTGAACTTCAGCTGAAACAAAGTAAACCCTTCTCTTAAAGGGGTACGGAAACGAAATTTTAGCGCCGATCTTTCTGCATAAATATGGTCTGGACAGGCACCAGCTCGGAAATATCAATATCGCGCTGTGAAATACAAGATAACTAATTTTAAACCTAACTAAACGATTTCAAATTCACATCTGGTGGATGGTGGCAAAGTTCTCGTGACATCACTTGTGGCATAGGAGCAGCGCCGTTCTGCGGCAATACGGCGTGCCGGCATTATTACCCTAGGCCTGAACGCGTTTGCAAAGCCTTGGCGGAGAAAGTCAAAGCGTAGTTGGCCACAGTGAGCTCGTTCTCGTTGCGGCTCTTTGCACGACACGACCCGAGCATGCTTCTGGCATGGCCCGTGTTAGTTGCTGCGAGTCGCGAGCTGTGAGCCGACGTTAAAAAATATATGTTTGAACTACGAGAGTGTCAGCAAAAGCCACGCAAATACCTGTTCACACTTGGAGCGGACACTCGCGTTTGATCGAAGTGCTGGATTCGCTCTGTTAGACCGCGTTTCGGTAAGCGCTTCTGGACCGATCTTTTACGAGTGCAACTCGATACTGACATGACACTCGGCAAAGAAAGGTTGGACCGACATCGCGTAGCTCCCACGAACTGCTACAGTTCGTGGGAGCTAAGCGGTCATGAGAGGTCGGGCCCCTCACGGGCCCCACCCCTTATGGGGGGCGCCCATGAGGGGGTGGGGGGAGAGGAGGTCCCTGCAAAACGGAAGATTTCGGTTTGGGGTGGGGCCAAGCCCCATGCTCCCCCCCTCCCCCTGGCTACGTGCCTGCGTCAGAGCTTCCGCTGTTGCCAACGAAAGCTGTGTGTTTTGCAGGTACAATCTGACCCGTTGGGCTCTGTTTGAAATTGAATTATTACTTGTGCGGCGGAGAGTTAGAAATTACGATTTCGTGCGGAAGGTATTCCTCAAATCAATGAGAATATAATTTAATCGCTTTTTGAAATACAAAATTTTACCGAACAGTTTTTTTTTTTTTTTTTTTTTTTTTTTTTTGAGGGACATTGCAAAGGCACAGAGAAAGCCAGAAGCTTCTTCGAAGGGCATGCCGACCGGTGTCAAACACGAGCGGAAGGACGACATGAAAGCTTCGAATAATGACGGCATGGAATTCCAGAGGTAGGACTGGCTGACTAGGTGCACGTGACCCCTTCTGATTCTTTAATGGTATACTAAAACGCAAGTTGGCTTTCGCAAAATAAGGACGCAGAAGCGTTGAACGGGACGCTATGAACTCTAAAACATTCCTCGTACAGCGATATCTCAAACAGATGGCCGTACTATCGGAAAGGAAGGGCGCGAGTAAACGAGGAATGTGACGTCACCATTCTCCCGCAACAGTTGAGAATGAGGGAAGCGGCCTCGCTTCTCTCCTCCTCACTTCGGTTCACCAACTCGACGGGACGTAGCGAGGAGGAGAAGGAATGAGAATCGTGACGTGCTTGTCTCGTCAGTCTCGTCGGCCGTGTGCAATCGCGCACTTCTTTTCCAAAAATACGGCGATCCGTTAGAGATATGGCTGTATCAGTGATGTCTTTTGAGTTTTGGAGCGTCCCGCCTATCCGTCCAGCATTGCTGTGAGAGCTCGAAATTCCGGTTCAGTATTTCTTTGGAGCCCGTTTCCAAGCAAAAATGTTTGCTTGGAACACCCGCAAATCAGGGGGGGGGGGGGGGGGGGGGTACAGTTTTGTAGATGGATTTGGTAGCATCGCACCTTTAAATAACGTCACCGCTCGGAACGCAACGTTTGTTGACGAAATTCTGGTCATCGCATGATTGCCAGCACTAAAAATAAGATCCCCACAACTTCATCACTAAAATTCGCGATGGAACGGGTGAACGAAAACGGATCTGCTTTTTTCCTTGAAATTAGGCGGCAACAAAAAAGCGTCTTGGTCAGTAATGTTGCGTGCGAGTAAACTCGGGCGGGTCCCACTATAGATCCAGTAGGCTTATGAAAGGTGAAAAACATTCATAACAATATCCTTTCACGGCCCCTTTAAGCAGGTAGATCTAGTGTATTTCTTGCCAGTAATGTTTTCTTTGCGCTTATTAAACTACAAAGGTTATGCATCTAAGTGGTGTTGTTTTTGTTTAGTTTTTCTGGCGCAAGTACAGATTTTGAAATCATTCTAACGTCTGTCGGGCCATGTCCCACAATCCTCACAGGCTTTGACGAGCTCAATGATCTGTATTAAAAATACACGCAAATTGTAGTTTTTATTATAAAAAACGCTACTGTAATTTCTATAGTGACTAATTATAACCCTGTATAGCAATGATAGACTACTAATGAAGAGCTGCTGCAAATTGGGTAGGCACCAAATAGAAGGAGGCCAAGGGATATGTAAAATGTCAGAGGGGCATTCCAGCATTATTTGCGAATTTATTAATGTAAACATAATTAAATTAATCAAAACCTTTCACCGACTTTGTAAAATCTAAACTTGTTTCGCCTAGTCATGTTTTCCGCATTATTTTAAGGTTGTAAGCCGATGACTACATAACTTTGAAATTTGGGATGGAGTATTGTCATTTTTGAATAGGTATTTCAACAGGTTCGTGGAAAATATTTATTTACTTTAATTTGCGATTATATTGCTATAACCTCGATGAACAAACATGTTTTGCTTATACTTTATACACTGCGAGAAGCAGCCTGGTCAGTTTCTGTAGGTAAAACTCATACATTTGTCTTAACGAATCTCGTTTTATTGTGAGCGATGGAACGCCGAGAACTAAAGTCTGTCTCTGTGAAGACGACAGGTGCCGACAGACGCACTATAGACCTTTTTCCGCTTACTCTCGCCCCCGACCGCCAAGAAGGCATATCCGGAAAAAATATTAAAACGTTTCAACCTTCAAATAGTAAAAAAAATAGAGGGGAGACAAAAACGAGAATAGGTGACGGTTACGCTTATCTCCTAAGGCGAAACAATGTTTTCAGTTTCACCCATACTGGTAGTGATGATATTTCAAGATGGCGGCGCCCTTGTGAAAAAGGTCTGTAGAGGCACATGGGCCTGACTCAAGGACGCGTTCTGTCCACGGTGTCCGATGATACCCGCTCATCGAGTGCAAGTGGGTGCCACTTGGAGTCTGGCGAACAGTTGTTTATGACCGGGACGTCGGATTCGTCTCGCTCCAAGGCGACCACCCCGTGACCTCCCACGAACACAACGCATGTCGGTCCGGGACATTGCTTATGCATTCCTGGGAGGTGTTTTTACACCTGCTCTAACTATTGCGCGCGGGAATCTTAAGTCTTGGCTTTGGGAGCGGAAAAAGGCGAACTTTGCAGCAATGCCCTCCTTACCAAACTTCGGCGTGCAACAAATGTGCCGATATCCTGCACTTCATCACTTTGTAGCCTTTTTTTATCCGTCCCGTTAAATGATCTCTATTCTTCACACACGTCGGAGTAGTTTGGTGGTCTGCCAGCGAGGTCACGGGTACTAGCAGAATTACTTGACGTCCGAAGGCTCCCCAACGCGCGACGCCCAGTGACAGCACATCCATCGTCGAACAACATAAAAATACCCTTTACTGTCCTTACATGATATGGTTTTGAAAGGAAGAAGGCTACGCATGTGTGTTTGAATTTTGAAACGCCTACGTTTTGATAGTCACAAGCTTCTGAACTGATAGATGCATTGCCTGTATATTAATTTTTTACAGAACGTGGAGAATTAGCAAACGCTCCGTGAGGGTTATTACGTTGGTACTAATATACATGATACGAAAAAATATCGAAGTAATCACAATTTCTCTCACGGGCATTACTGAGTGGCATTTGGAACAAAATAGTTCAGAATTCGCGTCAAAACTGGCCTAACTGTATTTATCACCGAGTGCAATTGAGAAATAATTATATCGATAATTTTAAATATACTTACATATTCTTCTCGTACAATACTTGTGGGGTCGTATTCTTACCTTCGACGTCGCCCCAGCCCGTGGCATACAACTTGGATCCCTCTGGCAAGTCTTCTCCGCTCTTTGGCAGACAGGCCGGCTGAATGGTCGTAGTCATGTTCACTTTCTCGACCAATTCGATGATCGCGATGTCGGGCACCATGTACTAGGAAGAAGGAGATACACCCAAGACTCTGTAAACTATGCAATGATATATAAGGGTCGTATGGGAAATATTTAGCTAATATCAATATATTCCAGGGAAAGCTGTTATAGCATTTTCCCAGCTGTATATACTTGTGGCATCGGCGTTGCTCCAGGCAGAAAACTTCGTTTCAAGTGCGCACTCGCATTCAACGCCCGAATGGTGCCAGGTAAAACGCGTTCACTCGGCTCTTGCCTTGCAGCAGTGTCTGCCACAGTTAGGGGGGATACACCATTATAAATTCCTTTTTCACCGCAGCACTTGGCTTGCGCCTACTAGAGTCACTAAATAAGTTACGCCTAAGAGTAACAACACTTCAGCCGTCTTAATGCTTAAAATCATGGTTGCCAATTCTCTGAAGCTTTTCCTGATATCGCAAGAAACGCTTTTCCGTTCTCCAGAAATATTAAAACAGTTCGTGACAAAGCAAGTATTTGGTACTTTTAGCAAATCGTTACTGTGTTCCACGTACCACACTACCGGAGCCTTTGAAGCATGCTTTTGAGCGCGCGCCCTTTGGTCAAAGGCATGCTTCAAAGGGTCCGGTAATGCGGTACGCGGAACACGGTAACGGTTTGCTAAGAGTCCCCTAATATCACTTGAGCTTCCAAACTCCGCGTATTTAAAGGTGAGTCAAAAAGTCAAATTGGACGTTTGAGAGATTTATACAGCGTAAGGTTGGTCTGCCAGTAGGGGCGACACTGATTTACAATGTAGATGAGCAATTTAGCCAGTGCGGTACAACCGCTAGCCTGGGGTCTTACGCAGTAGTGATACAAGACCGTACGCCGGTACGATGCTCATCCAGATCGAAACGGGCAGGGGTGGGGCTCGAACCCAGGATCCCTGGGTTCTGCAGTGCGAGCTTTCGCTCCACGCGCGTCGAGCTGGGTGTGCGCTTCAGCCCACTCGGCCACCGATCCCCCTTTAACGGTGAGGAAGTAGCATTTTTGCATTGTGAGGCTCGACAGTTGCTTCTGCTCTGCGCTAAGCACCAAGATGGCGGCGCCCACTAGCAAACCAGGAAACGGAGTATCAATACTTTAAGTGTAGCTCATTGAAAGGCTATAACGTCGACCGCATATACTTCGTTCACCTTTAAAGGAAAACTGAAGCGGTTCTGTATTTGAGCAAACACAAAAACACTTAGGTCGTATTCGATTGACCTCCAGGATTACGAATATCGAGATTATTTTTCTATTTGGTGCACGGATGCTGCAGAAATTAATTTCCAAGGTGCCGATGAAGCCCCTCCTTCCCGGGGCGTGACGTCATATTAGGAGTTTTCGGAATCTCCGCTCTCGCGCATCTTCAGCGCCTATAAAATCTAGGCACGCGCACTCTCGCTATTTTCAAGAAGGTCAGCAGGAGCCGTCACGACCGGTGTTAGTGCGAAGGAATATACTTGGCAAGCATGCAAATGTAAGCACTGCGGATATGAGGGACACGCGTCTGGCGGCCCAAAGATCCTATACTCTGTTTCACCTTATGTTGTACCGCAGTGAAAGCTAGAGGCGCGAGCTCATAGCGTTGGCAGCTGCCCTCAATGCACGAGAGCCTGTGCCGCCGAGACGTGCCCTAGAGCAAGGAGCTCATGTTTGTAGCCTTTCCTGCGGTAGATCATAAGGTGAAATAGAATATAGTATGTATCACGTCCCGACTAAGCGGAGGTGTTTTGTGTTTTCTCGCGTTTAGTTACGTCTACGGGGAACGAACGTCATATACAGATTCACTGGATTAAGGTACACCCGAATTCTCCTAAAACTGTTCTTTTTCTTGCTCAATAAATGTTCCACACTCTTAAAAAAGAAAAAAAAAATATATGGAAAGGCTTGGATTGAAAAAAGTATTTTTTTAATACGATAGCATTATTAAGCTATATACTACTCCAGGTTTTCAGCTTTATGGGAATTTCCTGGCCGTATTTTTACGTTCCCTCGTAAATTTTAAGGAATATTGATTTCACGTGACCTATGCAGCAATTCAGTTTCCCTGCTAAATTTAGCGGGAAAATTGAAGTCACGACCTGGGCACTAATTCAGTTTTCCCCCCGAATTCGCAAGAAAAATTGATGTCACGTGACCTCCGACCGATCGCGATTGAGTCAACTGTCGTTGGCTAAGTGACAGTTAAGAGCGCTAGTGTAACTAGAATATTAAGCACGCTGTATACGAGCAAGCCCGCATCTGCCCACACCAGGTAGGGGCCCAGCGCGTGCGAAGGAACTATATTCGCATTAGGTGAAACAGGGGCGATTCCAGAACTCCGTTTTGGGGGGAAGGGGGCGGAAAATTTATAAGGATACTATTCTCCCATTCTTTCTTGTGCACCGGGGGGTCCAACCATGGCAAATTGCCCTCCGAGAATGGGGAGGGGGAGGAATCGACTTTGTTGGGGGGGGGGGGGGGGGGGGGGGGGGGGGGCGTCGCCCTTTTTTTGGATTCGCCCTTGGGTGAAACGCCTATTCGTGCACCGTGCTGACAGCTGCGCCACCGCCGCAGCGGGGCGACTTTCCTTAGCCTGTCATCGGCGTCCAATCAACATCTGCGAACGCTGCAATAGCAGAGCGCACGCTTGCGCCAGATCAGATTATATGTGAGCCTTTAGTGTTGAAAAACTATTGACTGCGAATGCACAATTCCTGCAATGTCAGGGTTACAGAATTTCGAAGTCGTTACTCCGAAGTGTAAGGAACGGAGTTACGAGAACTTTGTGCGATTTTCCTGCGATAATTTCCCAACGATTTTCCGGCAGACGATCTTTGCTAAGAGAGCTTTTAGGTTTCTTAGCGTGACATCGGCTGCCAGTTATTTCTTCTTTAGTTTTTCTTTGAGTATTTGCTTCGACTGCCTGTCTTTTTATTGAAAGCGAAAAAATAATAATAACAACGGATGCTTTCTTCTTACCGTTGCTGATTTCCCATCGTATCCAGGGTGCACGCAGATTTCTTTGACGTGTAAAAAGACCTGGCCTTTGACCGGAGCTGATCGGAGGTGAGCACCTAGGTGGACACGGAGGGTGCGTGGCCTCAGGTGCCTGCGTATTAAATAGAATAGCTATTCCCGGTACCGTCCACCGCAAGCGGAGCTCTATGGAAACACAAGGCATATCATGCGTACCGCCCGTGCTACAACTATGGCCCCTGGAATGCTTGTCAGACCTGTGTCTGTTTACGGCGTTCAGAAAAGTGGTCCCTCGATTTCCGCCTTATGACGTCATAGAAGTGTCATACTCTCGCCTGCCGCGATCCTGGCGGTGTCACGGCAGCGGTGGCGGATGTGGCAGATGCCTGTTCTTCTGCAGGTCGCTGTACAGCCGGACAGTCCGAAGAAGGTTCGACAGTCGGGGGTTGAAACACCCTGACAACAGCGACACGTTGGCTCGTAATTTTTTTTTTTTTTTTATCAGAGTTTGACGATTAGTCATTGGGATCGCGACATCCGACAGCATAAACATTCCGGCTTTTGATGCGTCCTTCCTGGCCACTTCGGGACTATTGTTGATGTATGGGCGAGATAGAGAGAGGCGCGTTCCAAGCGCCATGGGCTTGACTATCAGACGATCTATACACATGGCATCGGAAAGATGGCGGCGCCCAGAGGCAACACTTGCAAACGTCCGTGGACATTGCCACGATTTGGACTCTTGAAGATTATTGAATGTAATGTAACAGTTTCATTGTCGTGAGATCACGGCACTTTGGTGACGCAGCATTTCTTTATTCTTTTTATTTCATAACTCCTAAAGGGGCACGAAGAAACGAAGAAATATTTTACGTCGCTCTCATGACTAACTTCATCGACGTGTTAAGGATATGGAAAGCCGGAAATTACTCAGACGAGCCTCTCGCTTTTCTACACAAAGTGCAATACAATATAAGCAGAATGTTTTTTTGTTTTTTTTTTAAGTTTTGCAAATTAAAAAGAAAAGTCATGAAAGCTACTCGTATGCGTTTTGTGAAGGTGAGTGATACGAACAAGGGGGGTACAGAGTATAAGGGGCTACTCGTAACGATTAGTCGGCCAACTGAGTAAACATTGGCAAGAAACTCTTTTGTCGTGTATTTTATGGTGTTTAATTACGCGATATACGTTTTAAAATTAGAGTTTCCGATCCAAGCATGCACTACCAAACTACAAAGGCCCGTTTTTGATGGGTAGTGCGTAGATTCGATCTCACAAATACTGCGAAACCACCAGTCTAGTTGGCCTGGTTCGCACACTTGCGTGTTGCTAACGGCCGAGTTTGGGAGATTTTTTTTACGATGAGAGAACAGACTGACTCGGCTGGCGCCATTTATGACGTGGACCTGGAACTGCATTTCACTAGAGTGAAAGTTTCACAACTGTGCGAGATCAAATGTATGCTTGCCATCTTTGAGAAACGGTCATTTATAACATTGTCAAGATATTTGCGAGCCAATGGTAAGAGAATAATGAGCAAAAATATTAGGAATTATATACGAAAATCGCGAGTGTTCCAATTGATAGATGGCGCCTTTTGTGCTATCTCGTGGTAGGAGATCACGAAAGGACATACGATTGCACACTATATCACCCCCTTCACCGTTTCATCATGCATCGTATCGGAGAGAATTGGGATTTGACGCCGCTCATCGAGTGAGAATTAATGCACATGCATTTACTCACTCGGCACAGTGGGCAGCCGTGAGTACGTGTCGGTCGCTTATCAAGACGCCGCTGCAGTAGTCCCGGTACACACGGAGCTGGGCATGCCAAGGCCAGCTGCCAGGCACTGCTTTCGCGCCGCCGACTACCCTATCTTCGGGGTCCAGGACTGGCTGGATCTGCTGGACGCCGCAGTCACCTGAAGAAGAGAAATCGTGCATTTGTTAGAACAAGGACATTTTCTCCTTGAATGTAGGCGCCAAGGAGTTATACATTCTATAAAAATATATGCATATTTTTTACTTTATTTTTTGCTTTGGCCTATTATATGCAGGCTGTCCTCTTTTTTTTTTTTAGACTTTACTGATTTTGTTTAAAAAATGCGAGTCATACGGCCAGGGAAAGGGGGGAGGGGGGCTTTATATAGGAGGCTAATCGTCAAGATGAGTTGTATAATTAACTAAATCATGGTAATTAACTTTACTTCGTCGAAATAAATTTATAGCGTCGTCGGAAACCAATAAATGAGTAAAACCCGAAATCGGAACATATGTTTTGGAAATCCCTCCTACCTTAAAATTAGTTGTTCTTTTTTTTAGGTGAAGTTTTGTTATAATATACATGTACGATTGAATCACTTAGAAAAGATCAAACTAATCATGATTAAAAAAATTGCTTCATCATTCTCATTTGCGCGCCAAACTCATCCCTTGGTGATAGATTTCCCGCTGTATTCGCCTCGAGATCGAACAGAGTTGCCACTGTGCGGCCGATGTTGGAAACACTGCAAGTGTGGATACCACCGCACGTCGTCCGCTCTTGGCGCAGGTTGAAACATGGATCCTCGCGACGATGAAGGCTTGTTTTCGGGTAAACGGCGTTATTTATGCTGTGAATGCGCGTTTTTTTTTTTCGAAAATATTGTATCGTTTTACCAGAGTGGAAACACATGAAGGAAAGGGATGCCGAGTCAGATACTTGTGTAATCTTGCTACTGTGTTTGTTGTTGTTGTGATGCGCTCTTTGTTGCGGACGGAAAGCGGTGCCTTATCGAAGAGGAACAATTTGTGAATGCCGGGCGCTTTATTGAGCGCAGCCCTGAGGTTTCAACGAACACGTCGACGGGCGTACACGTGCGGAGTTACGAGCTGCAATCATCGGCTCTCAGCATGGGTCCCTACACTGTGGATCTGAAGTTTATGAACGGAGCCATGAATGATAAACTTTCGTGCACTCGCCCTGCCGTATAACTATTGTTTGTAACTCCAACGGCCGGATACGTCTTTGAGAGAATCGCGCGATTCGTTCTCCCGGTCGTTTTTAACGCCGCATACGTAAAAACCTTTATTTTTTCCGATCCCAATTATTCGCAAATTAGGCATAGGAACCTATTCGCTGCCGCTAACTCTCGCGAATTTTAGAGACTTAAATTCTGGCCCCAAAACAAGAGATGTATTCGCGTGCCTTTATATTTCCCTTATTTTGTAATTCTCGAAAATATGGGGCTCGCGAAGGGTTTTGCAGTAGGCGGTGCAGTCACTTCAGAAAAAGAATGGCACAGGCTTCTTACGTGGCACCCATGTTTTTTAGTGAGCTGTTAACCTTAGATGTAATCATGACGTTTTCACGTAGCGCGATTTGTCCTTCAAAATTTGTATTTCAAGCGAAGTGGCACGAAACCTTCGTCACGCGGAGGGATAAGCAAAATTCATAGAGTGTAAACAAACAATTGATTAGGCTTGATAGTCTCTGTTTCTCCTTCGGTAGATTGACCAGTTGCCATCAGCCCTTTTTACCGCGTACTTCTGACCGAACTTCAAGAAAAGTGATATGGTGCGTCTGACGCACACGTAGAGGCATTGAGCGAGTCACTTCCGCTGCAGTCGATGACTCCTTTAGTGTGTCATAGTGTAGGGCAGTGATTTTCAAATGGAAGTCCGCGGACCCCAAAGACATTCTGTGGGTCCGCGAAGCTCTGCCTCATCAGCCAAGCCCGGCAATTAAAGTTGTATTTTTTTCATATTGACATTAAGCGTTCCAATTTTCGGGTGAGTTTTCTGGTGTGTATGTCAATCCGAGAAGTCTACTTCATATTAGCCCATAGTTTGATTCGTTTATTAACTAATTATCATAAACCTTTCGTTTCCCCTCACGACCAACTGGGTCCGCCATTATATCTGCCGATCCACAGGGCGTCCGCGAAACATCAATGGTTGAGAACCACTGGTGCAGGGGGTCTCGTAAGAGTGACAATTATACCATGTTTCAAAAGTCGGATTCTCACACAGTGATAAGTACGTGGCATTCGCATCATCTCCAAAAACACCGCAGCGGGAGAACTCACACTAACGACGACCAAATGCACTGCCCAGCAGCGAGCATCAACGCGCACGCCTTACACTTACTATACTTTGGGCCACTCGTGACACTTATAGGCAAACAGTTTTATTTTTCCTCTCACCTTCGTTGTCATGCATTGCTGGTCTGAAGTCTTCGGCGGTGAGGTGTTTAGAGCAAACCATTGCATGAATAAGATCTCAACTTCGAGAGCCTCTCTATCCTCAGCGCGCCGGCCGCTGGATATCGATGAAAACTAACCCCCACTTTGGTGCAATAGGAATTGCGCTGAGGCAATGCACAGTATGGGACCATTTTCTGTTGAAATTGCTTTCATAATGATGCTGTACGAGGCAATAAGCGCGATATTCTGCAGGTTCTTGGCCGCGACCGCAGATAGCCTAAGGGGAAGCCATCTTCTTATCCACCCATTGCTGATGATGATAGCGCGACAGTAGCGCCACCTTTAGTTCGATCTTGAGGCAAATATCGGGCCTGCCTGAAGTTGAACGCAGGGGTGCAAAACTCAAAAATAATCAAGCGGCAAAAAAAAAAAAAAAAACCTGCAGTTACTGGCGGCTTTAGAACCCTTCGCCGTCGCAGGATCCTGGTGTTCACGACGAAAGCAGAAGGGACGAATAATCTAGTCCTCCTTTCATCAGCTTTCATTTCATAGTTCATCCTATGGCATGGTACAAAATCTATAACTATTATTTCTGCGATTTTTCTTTTTACTCATATGATTAGCCTTTCTTTGCGCGTAAATTGTCCGACAATTAATATTGCATAAAATGTCTTGGATTCTTTTTGTTTTTGTTTTTTAGCATGATGTCATTTTTTTTAGAAGCAGGGTAGAGACCAAGGTTCAATATCATTTAAATCGTCATTTAAATCAGACCGATTTCGCTATGGCGATTTAAATCAAATCCTCCGCGCAAAAGCAATTCCGAAGTATTTTTTTGTCGTTTGTCTATTATTTGATGTTTTCATATATATTTGTATTTAAATTAAAAAAAAAAGTTTCGTATAAGGTTGAATACGAATAAAATGAAGAGCTCTTCTAAGCAAATCAGAGCGTTGAACTTCATTTATACTTTCAACTTCGTTCGTCAGCAACATAACGTTTTATTACAACAATATCAGACGGAAAAAGAAACAAAAGAAAAATATAAGAAATGTTATGTCCTATTGCGCTCAAGTCGCAACTCGAAAGAGAAATTCCATAGTTTTTTTCAACTAGCTTAAAAATCCGGCCGTTTTTGTACTAGTATCGCAGGGATTACAGCATAAAAAGTTGTTAACTAAACTGTACTCTACATTTAAATTATTTCTTTCTTTTACACTGTTATCTAATCAATCTGTTGTGTTTAAAAATGCACCTGTTGGTAAAAAGGCACCATTTTCTAGGTACAGTGATTTAAATCAAGCTAGTTGGATTCAAATCAAATAATTCTGGTTTAAATCAAATAAACCTGATTTACTAAATTGTCTTTCAAACAATATATGGTTCTTTTACCCTGTTTGGGAGTAGCCTTCAAGTTCCCTCGGTCCGATAAAATGTGAGCCGAGAACAACTTACCCCTGTTCCATGACGCCAAGGCGGGAGCCACCAGCAAAGCTACAGTCAAAATTAGGAACATTTCAGGAGTTGTGGCTATATTACGAAAATTAGAAAGGCTATTCGCACTATTTTCGCTTGAGAGGAGCTTATATATACGCGTGTTGTCTGTATATACTAATCTGTTCCGAGATATTGTTATCAAGTAGGTCGTTTCATAAAAGCGCTCTGGTACTGCGCACACCTGGACAAATCAGGTGTGGGATAACTGGACCTGCTGGTGCAGCATTTACATATTCTCAAGGTGTGCTTTATCTCCCAAAGTGGTGTGAAGTGATAACATCCTTTGGGGTCTGTTATCACTTCATTCCAACATATTTTTTTTTTTCTATAGGCCCTGGCAACTATGCCAATCGATAAAGATGGTTCCGTGTTACCGCTGACTGTGCATTGACACATTTTGATCTCACATTCTGGAAAAGGGGGAATTCTCGCAGTGGAAGCCGGTAAGGGACCTTTTCCGATAAAGCGGTACAGAAAAAAATGTTGACTGGCGGCTGTCGCTCTGAGCCTTTCAGGGGATCTGTCGTCAAGTTCTTCCTACACTACGTGTTTTGTTGTGATGTACCATTATTTATAGGAGTGTACGAATAGTTGCAAATTTTCGAAAAGAAAATCCTATATCACTTTGATTCGTTACTCCTATCAAATATTATATCTTCTTTGTTTCAAATATTTCTGTCGAGTAATTTTTAATAAACGAAGCTGTTTTCCGGCGCAGGTATAGGAGTGTGCGAATCCTCCTAATTTTGGAAAGCGTATAAGCGATTGCCTTATTTTATTCGTTACTCGAGTAATGCTTTTGTTTTAACTTTTTAATATTTTTTTAAAATAATTTTTGAATAGTCAGAACGGTTTGGTGCGGAGAGGTTTTCTTCACAGGCGTTCCAACACGTCTGCTATCCACGCAAGACGTCACTCACGATCATCATCAGCTCAGCAGTACCTGATTGTTTCTATTCATAAATTGACCTTGCATTCGTCTGCCAATATACTGAAGTGTACTAGAACTTGGAGCCGTGCAGACCGCATCGGCATCTCCCTAGAAGTTGGGTGTCCAGTGGCCCAATTCTACCGCAGGGGCTGCCAGTCACAGCGGGTCCAGGAGGCCGGTTCGGTAGCGTTTAGTCAGGCTGGCTTACGGTGTTTAGGTGTGACTACCTCTTTTTGTGCCGAAGAAACAAGGTACTCACAATGATGTCAAATGTTGCGAAGAAAACGACAGAGCGGCGGTGTTTAGTTCCGTGATGCAACATGGGTTACAACACATGCAAAGAGAAACATTCCTTGTTTCGGGCGCCGAGCTACGGCTTCCTGTTTCTCGGAATAGGATCTTCTGATTAAAAGGGAGAAGAAAAACTGATGAAGAGGAAGGAAAAGAAGGGAAATTGAACAAGACTGTGTGACCTCTAACATATATCAAAGAATGCAAATGTTTCCAAGTGGCATTGCCCTTTGATAAAGACAGCAGTTGAAGTTGCTCAGTTTATCTTGCCAGTATTCATGTTTATTTTTATATGATGCGTTCTCACTGGATTAAATCAATTCAGACATTTTCTGGTCTTTAAGTTTTGACTGTGAGTGCAGAAGTTCGCTTTCAATAATCTATGCTACACACAAAAAAAAAAGTATTACCACGAGAACAAAAACTATGTATTTATAGGTCTGCAAAATGTACAGCTGCCGAAAAAAATAATTAAAAAAGAAATTTTACACTAGGAGAGGAAAGAATCGATATCATGTCAGAGTGGGCAGGACAGCAGCAGCTCGTTCACCATGCTTAAACAAGTCTTCTTTGTACAGATTTTGCTGCTGCCTTTCGGGAACCTTGACGTGATTTCTGCGGCCTCGGATGAACAGTTTCAAGATCGCATCGTGGTGATTCCAAGCGACGTGACGGGTACCGTGAATTGTGCTGACGCACAATCTTCCCCGATACCCGAGACTGTTCTGTGTGACAACGACAACCGCGGTCACGTGTTTACGGGCTACTCTGTGACGCCCACCGGGATGACTACGGCGCACATCGACGGCATAAAAACCTTCGGACAAGGCTTCGACGCCAGTGGGCAGGACAGCAGCAACTCGTTCACCATGCTTAAACGAGTCTTCTTCTTTGTCCAGATTTTGCTGCTGCCTTTCGGGAACCTTGACGTGATTTCTGCGGCCTCGGATGAACAGTTTCAAGATCGCATCGTGGTGATTCCAAGCGACGTGACGGGTACCGTGAATTGTGCTAACGCACAATCTTCCCCGATACCCGAGACTGTTCTGTGTGACAACGACAACCGCGGTCACGTGTTTACGGGCTACTCTGTGACGCCCACCGGGATGACTACGGCGCACATCGACGGCATAAAAACCTTCGGACAAGGCTTCGACGCCAGTGGGCAGGACAGCAGCAGCTCGTTCACCATGCTTAAACGAGTCTTCTTCTTTGTCCAGATTTTGCTGCTGCCTTTCGGGAACCTTGACGTGATTTCTGCGGCCTCGGATGAACAGTTTCAAGATCGCATCGTGGTGATTTCAAGCGACGTGACGGGTACCGTGAATTGTGCTGACGCACAATCTTCTCCGATACCCGAGACTGTTCTGTGTGACAACGACAACCATCATGTCATCATACCAACTCGCCCAACTTACTACACTTCGACAACCGCGGTCACGTGTTTACGGGCTACTCTGTGACGCCCACCGGGATGACTACGGCGCACATCGACGGCATAAAAACCTTCGGACAAGGCTTCGACGCCAGTGGGCAGGACAGCAGCAGCTCGTTCACCATGCTTAAACGAGTCTTCTTCTTTGTCCAGATTTTGCTGCTGCCTTTCGGGAACCTTGACGTGATTTCTGCGGCCTCGGATGAACAGTTTCAAGATCGCATCGTGGTGATTCCAAGCGACGTGACGGATACTGTGAATTGTGCTAACGCACAATCTTCCCCGATACCCGAGACTGTTCTGTGTGACAACGACAACCGCGGTCACGTGTTTATGGGCTACTCTGTGACGCCCACCGGGATGACTACGGCGCACATCGACGGCATAAAAACCTTCGGACAAGGCTTCGACGCCAGTGGGCAGGACAGCAGCAGCTCGTTCACCATGCTTAAACGAGTCTTCTTCTTTGTCCAGATTTTGCTGCTGCCTTTCGGGAACCTTGACGTGATTTCTGCGGCCTCGGATGAACAGTTTCAAGATCGCATCGTGGTGATTCCAAGCGACGTGACGGATACTGTGAATTGTGCTGACGCACAATCTTCCCCGATACCCGAGACTGTTCTGTGTGACAACGACAACCGCGGTCACGTGTTTATGGGCTACTCTGTGACGCCCACCGGGATGACTACGGCGCACATCGACGGCATAAAAACCTTCGGACAAGGCTTCGACGCCAGTGGGCAGGACAGCAGCAGCTCGTTCACCATGCTTAAACGAGTCTTCTTCTTTGTCCAGATTTTGCTGCTGCCTTTCGGGAACCTTGACGTGATTTCTGCGGCCTCGGATGAACAGTTTCAAGATCGCATCGTGGTGATTCCAAGCGACGTGACGGATACTGTGAATTGTGCTAACGCACAATCTTCCCCGATACCCGAGACTGTTCTGTGTGACAACGACAACCGCGGTCACGTGTTTATGGGCTACTCTGTGACGCCCACCGGGATGACTACGGCGCACATCGACGGCATAAAAACCTTCGGACAAGGCTTCGACGCCAGTGGGCAGGACAGCAGCAGCTCGTTCACCATGCTTAAACGAGTCTTCTTCTTTGTCCAGATTTTGCTGCTGCCTTTCGGGAACCTTGACGTGATTTCTGCGGCCTCGGATGAACAGTTTCAAGATCGCATCGTGGTGATTCCAAGCGACGTGACGGGTACCGTGAATTGTGCTGACGCACAATCTTCCCCGATACCCGAGACTGTTCTGTGTGACAACGACAACCGCGGTCACGTGTTTACGGGCTACTCTGTGACGCCCACCGGGATGACTACGGCGCACATCGACGGCATAAAAACCTTCGGACAAGGCTTCGACGCCAGTGGGCAGGACAGCAGCAGCTCGTTCACCATGCTTAAACGAGTCTTCTTCTTTGTCCAGATTTTGCTGCTGCCTTTCGGGAACCTTGACGTGATTTCTGCGGCCTCGGATGAACAGTTTCAAGATCGCATCGTGGTGATTCCAAGCGACGTGACGGGTACCGTGAATTGTGCTAACGCACAATCTTCCCCGATACCCGAGACTGTTCTGTGTGACAACGACAACCGCGGTCACGTGTTTACGGGCTACTCTGTGACGCCCACCGGGATGACTACGGCGCACATCGACGGCATAAAAACCTTCGGACAAGGCTTCGACGCCAGTGGGCAGGACAGCAGCAGCTCGTTCACCATGCTTAAACGAGTCTTCTTCTTTGTCCAGATTTTGCTGCTGCCTTTCGGGAACCTTGACGTGATTTCTGCGGCCTCGGATGAACAGTTTCAAGATCGCATCGTGGTGATTCCAAGCGACGTGACGGGTACCGTGAATTGTGCTAACGCACAATCTTCCCCGATACCCGAGACTGTTCTGTGTGACAACGACAACCGCGGTCACGTGTTTACGGGCTACTCTGTGACGCCCACCGGGATGACTACGGCGCACATCGACGGCATAAAAACGTTCGGACAAGGCTTCGACGCCAGTGGGCAGGACAGCAGCAGCTCGTTCACCATGCTTAAACGAGTCTTCTTCTTTGTCCAGATTTTGCTGCTGCCTTTCGGGAACCTTGACGTGATTTCTGCGGCCTCGGATGAACAGTTTCAAGATCGCATCGTGGTGATTTCAAGCGACGTGACGGGTACCGTGAATTGTGCTGACGCACAATCTTCTCCGATACCCGAGACTGTTCTGTGTGACAACGACAACCATCATGTCATCATACCAACTCGCCCAACTTACTACACTTCGACAACCGCGGTCACGTGTTTACGGGCTACTCTGTGACGCCCACCGGGATGACTACGGCGCACATCGACGGCATAAAAACCTTCGGACAAGGCTTCGACGCCAGTGGGCAGGACAGCAGCAGCTCGTTCACCATGCTTAAACGAGTCTTCTTCTTTGTCCAGATTTTGCTGCTGCCTTTCGGGAACCTTGACGTGATTTCTGCGGCCTC